GTTACCAATTCTATTCATGTTATTACTAATTATATTGTTTTATGTGTAGCGAATTATGTTCCCTTTCCAGCTAGGTATCTTCGAGGGACAGCATCAACACAACGCAATACATATGTAGACACATATTAAAATACCATGGTTAGGTAGGAAATTTATTGGGATTTAGAAGCTCAAAGGTTCATGAACATTTGGAACTTTAAACTTTAAATGTTTCAATTTAAATTTGATTAGTTATTAGATACTATTATAGGTAGGTTAATATTCGGCCGGGTAGGTTTGTACCAAGCAGCTCCTTCTGTAATGCATTTGATTAGCAAACGTGTTCCAGATGGAGATGCTTAATTTTTTAAATTTGTTAATTTGGGTTTTTCGTAATATTTTTGGTTGAATTCCGTTAGGGTGGGCCGATTGAAAAACAAGAGGGTAGGGCGGGTCTCCGATCACAGCAACCTCCTCGTGGTGAGACCTGGGTCGGAATTTTCCTTGTAATAGAATATTGTATTCTACCAGATTAACATTTTATTCTATGTCAAGGATTAAACCGTGCCAATGGCTGTGAACCAATTTACTTAACTCTTCGCACTTGAAGGTGACAATTTTCACCTTCTAGAAATAGATCAAATTTGTTTGAATTGCGATATTCACTGTGTGTTCTATATATCTATCATACGATGAACTCGAACTTAAAAAAGTTGCAAACTAATTAATTTAAAAATCGATCCATTTTCGATTTCGATTTTCAATGTGATCCGAGCTTTTACTTCAACTTGGATGATTTTGAAATTCAAACTGTTCATGTTCCTGTTTCATACGGTTTAATTTCTCATGCTTCTATTCCGATAGAGTGCGCTAGTTCACAAGGTCATTTTTATCAATGTCGGTCTTTCAGAACGTTGGACAGAAGATTGTATTGCATAGTAGGCCTGTTATCAGCAAGAAAAAATGCTACAAGTAATTACAACTCCAGATTAGTAGGTAATCTAATCTGGATCCACATAGAAGGATTACTCTGCCCCTACCATAAACACCTATATTTGTGATCGTTGGTAACGTCGGTCACAACATCGAATTGATGGTAATTTGAAACTTCAGAATACGATTGGTGTACCCTGTAACTGATCTGTGGCGGCAGCTTTCAAAAAAATTCAGTTTCAACATCATCTAATTGTAAGTACCATGAACTACTCGTGTGAATAGTTATTTCTAAAAGGATTGTCTCTAGGGTAGAGCAGTAATGAAATTTTTCTATAATTATTTTCCGTAGGCGTGGCTCTCGAGTAAACTGAAAATCAAGGGGAATGAAGAAATGAATTAACTGTACGGACGATGATGTCATTGCCCCGACAGGTTATGAGCAGTGCGCGGCGAGGATGTCAAGATGGCTGCCACGTACATCTGATCGGAGGTGTGTGCGCTCGCGAAATTTGACGCCAAACCGTGATAAAACGGGCTGTGCATTTCGGGTCCCTGACATGCTGACAGTGCGTAGTTAGTCGGCCCATATCCATGAGGACCACTTTGTACACCATCGATGATAGTTCTTGTCGTCGCGGCCGGCGGCGGCTCGCATTGAACCATGTTCAGCAAAAAGCTACATGTAGACGTCAAAAAGTCAACACTGAAGATTCAGGATGTTAAAAAGGATAGCGCAACTCGGTTCAAGCATCTTAAGATCGTATTAGGTGAGCTGGCCACTTTTCGTTCGCTTCATTGGCTCCTAGGGTCAGATGTTAGAATATTAATACATACGTTCGTAGGCATTAACCGCGAATAACCAGTTTTCAGCTAATGAACACGACGACGGCTAAGAGGGGCGGCAATTTTGTTAGCATTCGCCGCCTACGCGTCAATTCACTGAAGACGTTATTAACGTAATCATAGAATTTCAGAAATCCTATGGAAATTCACATCAATGAATATTTTCCTTTATCATAAAACTCGGCCCTTTTTCGCTGTCAGCTGTTGTTGTAACATTAAAGTATTTTTTTCAGAAACATGTTCTGACAAAGTTTATCTAAATTATGCAGTATGTGAACTGGAAATAGGAATTACATTGACACATATTTTAATAGTAATGGATTAGTTAATTATATTATACTGGTAATGTCTTTGTGAGAAATGATTTTTATTTTATAAGAATATTAAATGTTTTGAAGAAGGAGGAATATAATTAGCATGTATGTAATTATAATACAATGGTCATAATATTCATAGGTAGCTGGTATCTAATCATTAAACCGCATGACCACAGAAACCAACCCACCATGGCCTCCAGTTATGTCTAATGTTACATTATTATTGTGTGTAGACAGACATGCATGTTTAAATATATAATAATCATTAACTGCTGAACAAATTTTCTAGAGTATTCATGATTCAAAGTCTCAAGTATTTATAAACATTTTAAGAAAGAAAATTAAATATATTCTTTTATTTATTTTTTAATAAAAATATGTTGTTTCTCACTTTTAATATAGAACTCATATTTTTATCTTATTTCATATTTTTGTAATTTCAGAACTATTTGAATTACTATGATTATGTTTAGTTATATTCAGTCCATTTGTGATAAAATATTTTTTCCTTTATGCTTTAGGTTCTTCCAATTAAGTTTTAGTTTGTTAGATTTTTAACAGAAATTTCATTTACATTAGTAAAACCAATGTCTATTATTTAGAAAGAATAGTGACTAACATCAGCCTATAATTTTAGATTGTGAGGGATCAGCGGTTAGCATATGATAACAAATCAATGATACTCTGTTATAGAAAATGTGGACACTGATGAAGCAAAGGGGTTTTTCGAGGGCAACTTCAGTCATGTCTATTTTATTCTTTACGATTGTTTTGTCTCGGCTGAAGCAAATCTCCGGCAGAGAGGTAAGATTATTTTTAGACATAAACAGTTTAGATCTTAAAAATGTAAAATTACAACTGCATTGCATATATATGTGGACATGATTGCGATATCTATTTCTATCAGTGCAACCAAATGCAGTTTTATTTATAGAAGTAATGAATGTATTAAAATTAAATATCATTTTTGTAATCCCAGTATTACAATTATTTTACTATTTGCTTGTTTTCTCTCTATTTTGCTGTCAGAACTTTCCTTCCACATTGGTGAGTAAAAGATGAATGAATATATACTTACATGTCCCAGGCATGTTGCAGTTCTATTAATCTAATCGGTATATCCAATCTTATAAGTATATCCTTTAGTACATGTAGCATGTGCTTAGGATATTTATAAACTCATGCTATTTTTATTATTTTTTATCTTTGTTAACATAGTATCAAATAAAAATATCAAATAAATGTATTACACATTTAGTGAAAAGAATGTTTTTTTTTATAGTGCATAAGGCACATAGGGAGGAATTGGAGCAGGTATTACAGCTCTTAGAGAAAGTTTTGACACTTCTCCCTGAGCTTCTTAACAGGAGATGGCAATGCCACAGTTTGGCAAGGATTTTGCAAAAACTTTTACACCCGGGTAATAGTTGGAAACTTCGTAGACAAGCTATAAGGTACATACAACGTTTTGATAAAATGTTTCATTTATCTGATGGTTAAAGAATGTCTAAAAAAAACTGATCCTTTCTTAGATTCTAAATAGATTTCTGTGTTACCTTTTAAATTTATTTTTAGGTATTTTATTCTGTGGTACCAAGCACTTGGTGAAAATGCCCCAGAACATATACATCAAATGTTTGCAAGCTTGGTACCAGGGTTTCCACCCCAACAACCATCCCCTTATAAGTCTGAACGTAAACTGGATGGAAGAAATAAGCATGCAAAAGTAATTGGTTGTGATGATAAGGATAGGAAGGAGTTTTATGATACACAATTGTCACAGAGTACTTTCCATGACAATAGCTTGAATCAGTGTCCAGTCACTCCAGTTGACAGTGGACCTATTTTACCCCCACAAAGTGGAGAGAAGCCTCTTGATAATGAGACTGTTCGATTTTTAGAAGCATTACTTGAATTTATGGTTACTCAGGTGTGTTTGCTGTTACACAACTAATTAAAGGATAAAATTGTAGTAATACTTATTAGTTGCACTGTTAGAACTTTATTTTTCATTTTGACTATAGGTTGTTAAAATAGAATGGCGGGATAAATCTTCACGACAGCACAAGACTTTCCAATTTTTATTAGAACGTTTTAAAGCCACATACCTTCGTCACATTTGTCCTGAGTTCGACGATAATTTCTCCTTGTACAAACCTAATTTAGAACTGCCTACAATGCGTAAACCAACGAATCAAAGTCAGGATAATTATGTATTGTGTAAAGTTGCATTCATCAAATGGGTTGCTAGTTTTACACACGTTGCTAGAAAAGATGGTCTCTTCGCACATCTTTCACATAGGTATTGCTCTCTAAACTTAAAAAATTGATATTATATTGTGCAGATCGTTTTTCTTACACCATTTATTTTTTGTACATTCGTTTAGCACAACTCCGAACGAAGAAAACGCGGAGTCGGAACTTCGTCGTGTTTCGGTTACACAAAATTCAGCTGATTCAACTTTACTGTCGCCTGAATCAACTGTATCTCAACAAGAGAACCAAAATCAGGAGGATAACACTGTTTCGGCTGTTACCCTCGTCAGGGAAGTTCTTTACGGTAACAGAGACAACGTGAACTTTGTACACGAGTTGTATAGACAAGCATTTCTTTTGGACTTCAATCATGCTGGTGCTATCAGAAAGGCTATAGCTGTTTATAAAGATTGGATTCAAATGAATGTAGGTATATGATTGTCTAATTAAGATTATTTCTTACGTATGACAACAAGGAAGTTAAAATTATATTACATATTTCAATTTTATGCCATTAGGAGCTTCCTCCATTCATGTTAGAACCATTGGATAGTCATAAGGATAGAGATTTAGAAGATACCTCCAAAAAGGATGGAAATGATGTAGATAAAAGTCCATCTGAATCTTATCGTCAAACAAGATTGAGAAACGATTCGTACCTCGGTGCTATACACAGAGAAAATTTGTTTATCAGAGCAGGATTGCAGAATGTACTCCAAGTATTCATTACGCAGGCTTCGAATGTATTTTTCTTGGAGAATTTTGGACCGAATGCATCTCTGACGCTACTCGAAGAGCAGACGGACAGCTGTAAAAGAGTGCTAAACGTATATCGTTACGTTGTTATGCATTCTAGATTAGAACCGGGCACTTGGGAACAATTGCTTAGGTATATAAAATAGATCATTGCTTAAAAATTAAATTGGAACTTTTCCGTTACTTATTAGCTAACTTAATACTAGCATTACACGTTACTAATCTAATTGTTAATTCATTAGGGTATTACTACAAATAACGTCACTCGTTTTAAATGAGAAATCATCTCGACGGAAGGTTCAAGACAGTATTGGTGGCAAACTTGCACCCGCCATATTTCAAACGTTAATTGTCACATGGATTAAAGCCAATTTAAACGTTGTTATTTCTACTCAGCTGTGGGATCAGTTTTTAGAGGTATTAACATCTCTGACACAGTGGGAAGAATTAATTCGAGAGTGGGCTGTAAGTTGGATTAAGTATAATTTCAATGTAAATTACGCCAAAGTTAAATCATGTCGAAAAAATATCATTTTCGTTTTAATTCTGTTTCTATAGAAAACATTGGATACTTTAACAAGGGTACTTGCCAGGCACGTGTACAATCTAGATCTAAACGATTTACCATTGGATAGACTGAGTGAGCAAAAAACTAAAAAGCGACGGGGTGTTGGAAGTCGTGCTGCGTCTACCGGAAGTGTCCAACCGCCGCGGAAAGGAAGCGTTGATCAAGAAAGTCATACAGTGTCTAAAGAAAATGTTATCGGTATAAAATACAAATAATTTTCTCTTTAAGTTGTATTAGATGTACCAATGAAGAATTTACTATTTTGTTAATAATATAACAATATATAATTTCAATTTAAAATGTCCTGATCCCCAGAATTCAGCAGAAAATAGTGAACAAGTTGTTGGTACACCTAATAAACTATATTTAACGATGTTAAATGTTGTTTTATATTTTATATAGATCATCCAATGCGAGACATGAGGAAAGTACGACCTCTTCCGCGCAGTGCGAGCGATAATACAATATATAATGCAAAATCTCGCACAAAGCTTCACAGAAATCGTACTCACACTGTGCACAGTGGCATTCCGGGTAAGTATCTAACTTGACGAGTTTTTTCTTTCTTCTCTTTCCTTCTTTCCCTATCTCTCTATCTCTCGGTTTAGTTCTGGTGACTTTTGTAATTTGGTAGTGCCATCTATGTTGCTGATAGCGCGTGCAAATTTATTTATAACTTTGTCTCTTACTTTTTTGCTTGAACGCTGACACCGGTTTAAAAATAACCAGTCGAGTGTCAGCCAGACACTTGTCTCGTCTCATTCTTTTTCTCTCATCCTCTTCATTCGCAACTTCGTTTTCCTTGTGCTTGCTCTCTCCTAGTTTCAGTCAACGAACCGCCAAATGAGAATTAGAGATTTAGATTACTCTCAATCGTTTGTGGCTTATTTGTGTATTAAGTGTGAACAATTTCCACACGTGCAGTACTCCCATTGTCAATAGAGCAAGATATGGCTCGGTTATTATCAAGCGGTTCTACATCATCGTCGGGACACACCAGAAAAATGTTACCCAACAGACGTGCTAAATCCTTGGATAGCATTGTCATGGTGGATAGCGAACCACCGTCGCCTCGTTGCCCATCTCCAACGCCCAGCAGTGGGGTTGACAGCAACAAAGACAGTCCTATACAAATTGAAAACATTGATGGCAGTAGTATTGGTAAGTATATTTGCTGCTACTTGCGCACAATTTAAAAAATTTATTTTTTAACCATAACAGTGTCAGCATTTTCACAATCTCCAAAATATTTCTATGTCCCGATCATAATTCGTTAATGTAATACTAACATCGAATATTTTAATTTACTTGAAAAATAATTTATTTGTATCATGTGCTTCGCTTATATTTCTGCGAATTAATTCTGCCCGCGTAATCAGGCAGTTTGACACATTTATTTTATTTAAGTTTTACAATAAATATACATACATACATATGAAATTATTAATAGCTTTTTGCGTTTGAATTTTATTGTTTTTAACTTCTGAATTAATGGCCTAAGGAAGTGTTTCATACATCACTTTAGACAGACAGATTTTAATTGTGAATCTTTATACTGATTTTGTAAGTACATAATTACTTTGCAGACACTAATGATGCATCAGAAAGAAGATCTGTCATGGCAGGTGGCGGAGTTCGTGGATGGCTACCTGATGTGGCAGTAGTATTATGGAGACGTATGTTGTCAGCATTAGGGGATGTAAATAACATTCAAGATCCCACCCTTCATGGTCAAGTAATGGATTACCTTGTGCAGCTTACGCAAACACTCATAAAAGTCAGAATATATTGTATTATGTGTTATCATGATTATCAAGTTATTATAATTAAATGAATATCACTTTTTTCATACCAAAACAGATTCGTCTAAACCAAGGTGTATCTGGAGACAATCAAGCAACTCCTCCAGCTCCAGAACTCATACCGCCATTAACAGTCATTGCCCCTTGGTGTTTTAAGGTTGCTATTATTCATATGCTTGTTATGGATACATAAAATCCACAATACTAATTCAGGAAATTATACGTTTTCAGGCGATACAACTTCCTAATCAATATGAAGTTGGTAAACTAGCAGCATATCGTTTGATTTGTCTTTTAACGGTTCAGCCGCAGGATATTAGTTTACCGAAACAACATTTAACTCTATTTTATCGTGCGGTTCACAACGGTATCGTTAGTAACGACAGTAAAGTATTACATGTTCTTGTTAAATATACTGGACCAAGATTGTTCAGTTTGAATCTTCCTGGCTCCAGTCTACTGATCTTGGACTATATTCACGCTGCTAATATGATATTAAGCAGTCAAGACATTGGGGTACTGTAAAAGTCACGTAATTATTTTATAGCGACATGTGATCATAGAAATATAAACAATGAATGGTTACAGGCACCGAGGACAGAGGCTGTTTCAATGATTGGATCGTTATTATCATTGCCTGCTACTACAGTAAAATTACCTGTACTGCAACCTACTGCAACAGATATTGCAACCATGACGTGTCCAGACGCAAAAGTAATTGGACATAGTGTCCTATATCTGTGCATACATTGTATGTATTACATAAATTGTTTTATTTTAGGAACATATAATTACGATACTCTTAAGAAGCTGTAGACGTGAACCAACTGGTATTGCGAGATGCGTGGCGCTTTCAAGTATCGCTATGTTCGTTTATAAAGAACTATGCTACAGAAATCAACACCCGAGGATCCCAGAATCCGTTACGGTTCTTCTTCTAGCACTGAGAGTAAGTTTTTGAAGTTTTCTGTCGACAATAGTTGCAAATAAAAAATGAATTTCGTGTGATCAATATTATTATTATTCTTTTTTTTTAATTTAGAGGAATCTGCATGTTATATATTTTAGATTAGAGCATATTGGTTTGCACCTGGGTTGTAGTTTTTAGTAAAATAGTGCGCACTATGTAGTGCTTTAATACAATTTTTAGTTGCAATCTCTTAGGTGGATATATCTAACAATATTTGAGCTAAGTGTAGTAAATGTCATAGTAGTAGTGAAAAATTCAGTATCTCTTCCACTGAGTCTGATTGACAGCGGATGCAAGGAACAGAGCGTCGCAGGGCTGGTTTCTGTTTCCCCTTAATGGATCAGGTAGTTTTTCTTGGATTAACCAACCTCTGTCGACTCCTTTATTATGTGTTGTTACAGTATTTACCTGTCGACTGATGTCTACGTGTCTTCTTTAAGGATGTTGTCAACATTGCATGGTTTTTTTTGCACGGTCATGTGTCTGTATAACGTCCAGCGACATTTAAATGTTTGATTTTATTTACCTTTTATATATTATTAGTGATTAACGTACTTCCTATTTAATACTAATTTACATAGAGTCAACGAAAATACGTTGATTTTACAGAAATATGCCCTAATTAAAAATGATATTCTTTATTGTTTAGGCCAGTCATGCTACCGTTGCCCAAGTAGCATGTGACTCTCTACTGTTGCTATGTGATAAAGCGGATATCCTCTTGGAATTGTACCCAAATGTGCCATCGAAAATAATTCAGGTAAATGTTATTAAAGCTTTCCAAGATATCAAACTCTTATACATATAATCTTGTATTTTCGTTTTAGATTTTGTCAGAAACGCTTGGATATATGAGTACACGAGATAGACGCGGCCAATTGATAATATCGATGTTATTTTGCTTGGGTGAATGGGCTATGCATCTAGGTCCGAATGTCTTATTACGTGTATTTCAAGGAAAACCACTATTAATGACACTGTTCACTGTTAGTACTTTACACAGATTTATACACACGAATAAAATTTCTGTGTTCCCTTATGTAAATGATTTGGAATGTTGCATATGTAGGTTTTGGATAACATAGTGCAAGACAAAGGTAGTAAAGGTTTGTCACAGTCAAGCAAAAGTCATGAAGATGAGGACAACGACTTTGATCCTGATATTACTTTGGACAATTTGGCTGACGAGACTAGCATAAAATCACCTCGTAGAGGCAATATTCAGTCTGTTCAGTTGGCCGCAAAAATGGTAAAAATCTCGTAAATACGTTTTCATCTGAAACGCAAACACTCATAAAACGGTCAGTTTTATATTAAAATTAAAATGGTGTGTAGGTAATGATGCATTTAATTAATCACTTGGGACACTTCCCGATGGGTATTGGAGCAGCTCGCTTATCTTCGTTAGTCGTCGAATTGGATGATGTACCAGGAATTGATGGAGATGAACTATCATCTGCAATCTTTCATGCACCAAACATGCAACTGTTAATGTTATCGAACTCCGTGATAATGTCACTCGTTGAATTGGCTGCGTTGGACGCACCCGGTGGCGGTGTCACTGCTGGATTAACGACAGCTCCGTCGTTGGTTCGAGTTTTGTTGAGGGATTTGGCAGGAAAAGCATCATGGGACAGTTCTATCTTGTACAGTCAGCCATCTATTGACGATGATATTCCAATAGCATTTACAAAACACGGTAATGGAAATGTTCAGTGATAATTGAATTGTTAATTATTTATTACATTTCAGCTTATGTGTACATGATTTCAGTTGAATGGAAAGCAAAATCACATGGCGAAGAATTATGTAGCGTTACGACGCCTCAAACGTGTACACCTCGACACACGGTGCGACACCGTGAACCTCATGTATTACCTACATTCGCAAATGGTGCGAGTGATATGGATAACTTAGATGATGTAAGCCTTAATATATTAAAAATAGTTCATCGGTTAAGATGATAATAGTCATAATATTATATTAAGATTTTTTACCTCATAATTAACGTAATATATATATGTCTAGCTCTTACAGTACATAGGGTATACAAGCCCAGAAGTATTAACCAATCCAGAAATAGCACTTAATGCACCAGCAAATCCTCCTCAGGGTTACTACCTCGAAAGTGAAACTATAGCAACCATTCTCAGTCAAAGGAATGCAGAACAGGAGCATATCAACAATTGGAATCAGCATATTAGGTAAATTTTTACTGAGTAAAACCTTCGCCATTTTTCATTCTATTCGTTACTATTGTACGTTATTACTATTTTAGCATGTGTGCATCAGCAATAAGTCCGCCTTGTTGTCGTCCACCTCCAGCACCGTTTCATCACTGCCGCCTTCTTTTTTCGCATTTGGGTCTATCTGGTTGGGAACAACGTAGAAAATTGCATTTACTCTCGAAGAACGAGAAGCTATTACGTGAATTGCGAAATCTCGATAGTCAACGGTCTAGGGAAACGCATAAAATAGCGGTAATCTATGTCAGTCAAGGGCAGGAGGATAAAAACTCCATATTAAGCAATGTCACTGCAAGCAAAGAATACGAGAGCTTCATTGCAAGATTGGCCTGGGAGATCGAACTTGAATCCCATACAGGCTTTCTCGGTGGTCTTGTGCCTGGAAAAGCGTCTGGTGTCACAGCACCATATTTTGCTACATCTTTCACTGAAATTCTTTTTCACGTTGCAACGAGAATGCCTTCGGATAGTCATGAAAGTTTACTGCAAAAGGTAAGAATTATCGAATCAATGAATCTATTCTAAAGCAACTCTATTTAGCACGTCTGGGAAATAAATTGTTTTAGACCCGCCATCTTGGAAACGATGAAATTCATATAGTTTGGTCTGAGCACTGGAGGGACTACCGCAGGGACATCATACCAACTGAATTTTGTGATGTTTTAATAGTTATTTATCCGTTACACAATAAATTGTACAGAATTCAGATCTCTCGGAAGCCAGAAATTCCATTTTTCGGGCCGCTGTTCGACGAGTGTATTGTAGAGGATAAAGTTCTGCCTGGATTAGTGCGGACAACAGCTCTGGCGGCTAGCAGAGCGAAGCGATCTACGCTTACGTTGTATCAGCATTAGTAAGTACACTATTTGTACTATAAATAATCGAACACTTTATTAATAAAACTGTTAAACATTGTAGTTACGAAGAGAGAGCAAGATCCATCGACACCGTTATGAGAAATCATAAAGAAGCTACCACATTCGAAGAATTCACAGCCAACGTTTATTCCCCGGTACAACCGCCGAGCCCGTTCAGTGGGGCTTCCTCTGTATCTGGTTAGTTCGTATATGTTAGTATAAGAAGAAAAATCATAAGATATTTTATACACGTTTCATAGAGATATTTCAATTTAAATTAGCGGCATATAGCTGCGTGTAGATCGTGTTTATTTGCAGTTTAATTCAATGCACAATTTTCACTATTCATAGCAATCCCGAGTCATAGACTTATTTCGAGAATGTCCGATAGAAGCTGAACAGCTTTTACAGCTGAACAGTGAAAACACCCCCATTTCCAATAGTTTCTGCATGAGGCGTCGATTGTTTATTATTATTATTATCAATATCACACTGTCAGGATCTACAACAAGCGTGCAATCCACAGCATCGTCAAACCTCGCAGCAGCGCTTATAGATTCGCATCAGGGTCGATCCGGACTGCGAAGTTCATCAGCGGCGAGCAGTGATAACCGCGCGAATAGAGGTGACTAATTCAGTCCACTAACCCCCACCCACCTTGTAACACCATCCGACAAGGTA